CCATAGTTCTTACCTGCAGATACTTTTTCATTTTTTAAAATCTTTGTATCCCCCAAACTGAGCACAGTGCCTTGCAAAACAATCAGCAAGCATTTATTAAACACCTACTATATACCAGGCACCACTCTAGGCACTGGGGGGACAAAGACTGTAGTTTAATAGATACTACTATCCTCAGATAACTTGCATTGATGTGGGAAACTATACTCATAGAGAGAGAGAGATATACAGAATATATATGTGTGTTAACCAAAATTTAATTAAAGTTATCTAGCATAATCTCATTTTGGTGATGAGAAAACTGAAGCCCAGAGAAAGGAAGTAGTTGTGATCAAAATTAGGCTGGCCCTTCACAGGGTATCTGGAACTGGTACGCATTGCCAAGGGTGGGTGTTAGGTGAGAGCAGAAGGTGCCTGAGGCCCAGACCAGGAACTGCTGTCTCCAGGCTACTCCTGCTGTTTGCCTTGTCTCACTGCTCCCATAAAGGAGCCACATTTGTACTGGTATTGGGTATTTAGAAACTAAGCAAGTTTGACCAATAGAATCTTAAGTTCCTAGAGGCAGGGATTGGTGTGGTTTTTTTTTAATTTTTTAAAATTTAAAATAATTTTTTTTTTTTTTTGCTTTTAGCTTTCTTTGTATCCCTGGCGCTTAGTACAGTGCCTGGTATAAAGTAAGTGATTAATAAATGTTCGATGAAGACTGACTGATCTCTAGGCATCCCATCTAATTTAAGGACTATTTTTTTATTTTTTTGTGTTTTGTGTTTTGTTTCTTGTTGTAGGCAATTGGGGTTAAGTGACTTGCCCACAGTTAGTAAGTGTCAAGTGTTTGGTCTGAGGCTGGATTTGAACTCAGGTCCTCCTGACTTCAGGGCCAGTGCTCTATCCACTGCATCACCTAGCTGCCCCAGGACTGTTTTTTTTTAAATCTTATTTTTATGGAAATGCCAGTTTTCATTAATGTGATGATAGCCTGACTTCAGGTGAAAATTTGAAATGCCCCTGCAGCTTCCCCAGCTGCATGGGGCAGTGGCATCTCTAGAAAGGGCCAGGATTGTCTCTTTCACCTGCCCTGGCCCCGAGCCCTGTTGACTCCATCCTGTGCACCCCCTATTGTCAGCACATTTTGCCTGACCATCGCTAGCTCTTTTCCTATTGGCTGACTGCCATTGTTTTTTTTTTTAAACTTTTCCTGAGTGACCTTGATTCTGACCCACAGTGGACAGACAAATGGGCTTTTATTATGTGAACATCACTGCCTTTGAATCCTTTGGAGAAACATTTTTATCTCCATCTTGAGCCCTTCTTAATTCACCCTCGTACTGTTCCCACCCTGGAAGCTACCCTAGCTCACCCACTCCTTGTAGACACTAGTCTTGGAGAACCTGAGAACAATCCCATTGTGACAGAGCCAGAATTGGTACATTTTTGTTCTTTAGGCTGAGGATGAAAATAAGCTCAAGGAGAGCTTAGGGCATTGTGGGCTTATTAAAGAAAAACCTCTGACAGTTCAAGACATGGTTCTGACTTTTGGAATTGAATGAATGAATGAATGAGCATTTAATAAGGTCTTTCTATCAGTCAAATCAATAAGTATTTATTAAGCACTGATGTGCTGGGCACTGGGCTGGCAAAGAGAAGGCAAAGAATGAAAGACCAGTGTGATCTCAGGAGACCATCAATCTAATCCAGCATTCCTCATTGGTCTTGGAAATTGGCCGAGTGTGGGGGTTTCCTTGAATACCTCTGCAATCAGAAAGCATTTAGTAGAGTAGGTCATTTCTGTTGTAAATTACCAGTAGCCTTGAGAAGAGCAAGGCCCTTTCAGGTGACTCATTGGTAAATCCTAAGCACATGTAGGATTTCCTAGGGGGGATGATGGTAGCCAGGCCAGACCCCAGCAGCAGGAAGGTCAGTATTTGGAGGCCTTGGCAATCATTTTGTTTGTTTGTTTGTTTGTTTGTTTGTTTTTAAGCAATTGGGGTTAAGTGACTTGCCCAGGGTCACACAGCTAGTAAGTGTCAAGTGTTTGGTCTGAGACCAGATTTGAACTCAGGTCCTCCTGACTTCATGGCCGATGCTCTACCCATTGAGCCACCTAGCTGCCCCTTTGGCAATCATTTTGGACCAGACTTACCTGAGGGGGTTAAATCTGTTGTCAGGTGGTCACAGATTAGTTAATATTTTGCTGTAAAACAGCTGACTGTGGCTCATAGGAGCCTTAACTCCATCGGAGACATCTGGCATCGATTCCTGGCTTTGTTATGGAATGCCTGTGTATTTTGGGGCAGGTCATTTCCTCTGTAAAGTAAGCGGACTGGATAAGATGACCTCTTGGGATTCCTCGGTTTGCAAAGCTCTTTGCATACATTATCTCATTTATCAAGGCAAGTCAGCCAGTATTCAGAGAACACCTTTACACTTAAAACTGGGGATGGGAAGAAATGTGGAAAAACAGCCTGTGCTCTCAGGGAGCTCAGTCTGATGGGGGAAAGAGCACACAAACATCTATGTCCAAGCAAGCCATGGACCAAATGAAGGAGAGAGAGTCTCAGAGAGAAGGCACTAGCTTTCAGGAGGAATCGTCAAAAGCTTCTTGCTGGGACTTGAAAGAAGCCAGGAGGCAGAGATGTGGGGGGAGAGGATCCTAGGCACAGGAGATAGCTGGTGAAAATGCCCAGGGTAGGGAGATGGAGAATCTTTAATGAGGAACAGCAGTGACACCATGGTCACTGGCTCACAAAGTACATGGGGAGTCGGGTGTAAGAAGACCAGAAAGGTAGAAAGAGGCTTTCCCCAACAACCCTGTTGGGTAGGTGCTATGTATCTCCGTCTTAAAGGTGAGGAAATAGAGGCCGACAGACTTTAGGTGACTTGCCCAACATCTCCCACCCAGTTAGTGCCTCATCTGAGGAGGCAGGATTGAAAACTCAGGTCTTCCTGACTCTGGCGTCCAGTGCTGCCTGTGCTGAAAAATGCAATGTACAGTTCTTTGAGTAAAAGCCAAATCCACACTGGAAACCGAGCAAACAAGATCTGGGCCAGTCTGCCTGGTGGGACGTTGTGTCCTAGCTTAGTCCTCAGGTGTCCTGCCCCAAACGTGCTGACAAGCAAGGGGGCTGGTTGGCTGAGCTAGCCAGGATCTAGGAGACCAGGAGTTGGGTATAAGATCATCTGTTTCTCTTGGTATCGGCCCAGATGCTGGGGTTGAAATAATTTTCATTCCCAACATATGATGATTTGTTGTAAATGGAGAAAACCCTAAGGCGGAAAGCAGAGCTGTTTGACCTAGCATTTTTGTGCTGCTCCAGAGAGTGGAGGGGTCACATTGTTGGGTGATTATAAATGAATGATTGTGCCATTTCCTAACTGTTAAAAAGGAAGATGCTAAACACACAATGGAGATCAGAAGGATTTAGGCCACAGGCTCAAGCATAGAAAAGAAGGAGCGTGCCTCCACGCTTTCCAGCCTAGCCTCCTACATTTGGGCTTTGGTCAGTAGTATCAGGTCAGTTTTGATATGTGGAATGGGCACGCCAGCTGTTGGGCCACAGATGGGGAAATAATCTGAAATGGGATATTACTGGACAGAGTATGTGCCTTAATTGGCAGAAGCAAGCTTTCTATGGGGCAGTAGTAGAGTAGGGTGGTTAATAGCCTTTCAGATATACCTCCATTTCATGATTCCTTTTCATTATACTAAGCCCACAAAAGGTCTGTATATTCCTCAGCTCCCTCCATCAAAACCCAACTAGGGAGCTGCCTGAGGCTGGGAGAGGGTAACCTGCCCTTGGACAGATCGGCAACTTTAGGAAGTTAGATCGAGATCTGGAAGAGACCTTCAGAGGCTATCTAATCTGTTGGCCTCATTTTTGCAGATGAGGAAACTGAGGACCCAGGGGAAGTTAAATGACTCACCTGAGGCCACTCAGTATGTGTTAGAGGTCAGGTCTTCCAGCTCCTACTCCAGTCTTCTTTCCACTATACCACGATGCTTCTCAAGCAAAATTTGAATGCAGGTCTCCAAATTTAGCACTACTCCATCTAAATACCCCCTGTGGCAACCAGTTCCCATGTTTTAACATTCTGACAGGTGACGTCTTCCCTCGGCCTGTTGACACCTTCCCACGACACATCCATCCCCTTCTCCCATCCCCTCTTGCCAACATTCTTCTGGAACGATCCATTTCCTTATTTGTATTCAGTTAACCAAAGAAGCACATTAGGCATGGTATTCCTTCAAGGGAGTCTGAGTCAATATCTAAGGTGAATGGCTTCATAAATGGGGCCTTCATAAATCCCTTTCCTTTTTTCCTACTCAGAAAAATTGGTGCTCGACTTTTATTTTCATGAAAATTGTGTTCCATAGTGTATCCTAGCAATATGCTCATCCTAAGCAAAGAATGCCTTGGAGAAATTTAAAAAAAAATTCATTTTCATTATTGTTCCTTCTTTTTGAAGTAGTGATCAAATGTATCTCTGTAAACTGATCAGAAGTAGTTTCTAGGTAGCTGTGATAATGAGAGTATTGAAGTTTTGCCTTCAGATTCTGGCCCAGAGCACCCAAGAGAGGCTGACAAACTGAAGATGAGAGATCTCAAGCCAGCTTCCTTGTCTCCCCTCAAGGCAACTTGAAACTGCTTGCTGCCATCCTAAGTTATATCTTTGGGCCCTTTTGTTCAGATAGTAGGGTCATGAAGTCTGTGATTTTGTTGCTAGTGAATATACAATGAGTGTTATGAAAGCCAAACCAGTATAAGCCTTGAGTTTGAGACAAAGGCTTTTGGAGACGCAATGTAAGCCAATGCCGTTAACTTGTTTCTAGAAAGAGAGTATTCCTGGATACTGACTGGAGCAGTCCTACAAATGTTCTGAGAGGCCTAATCAGCCACGTGTAGGGGAGTCCTGGGCCCTTCTTTCCAGGAATGTTTTTTTCAAATTCTTTGGAAATACTTTGACGGGATCTGAACCAAGTATATGTTTTTTGAATGTTCCAGGTAGAGAACCACACAGAAGAAAATGACATGAATAAGCGAAGACGGAAAGGCATAGACAATTTGGAAGAGGTTAGTATTTTCAGTACTTCTGTGAAACCCCAAAACTAGCCTGGGAGAAAGGCCTAAAGGAATATCCTTTTCCCCCAGCAGTGAATCAACTACTAAGATGCAGTGGGATACTGGCCTGCCACTTACCCACACATCTTTTCCCTCGGTGACCCTTGACTGCAGAGTTCCAGGGGACTGTTTCAAGGATGAATTAGTAATGATAGGCTCATGGGTCCAGAGTTGGAAGGAACTTCAGGGGTCATTTAATCCAATCCATCCATTTTACAAATAAGTAAACTGAGGCCCAGATAGGATCAGAGAATATAGCTCTACAGTTGGAAGCTACCTAGTTCTACACTTTTATTTTATAAATGAGGAAACTGAGGCCCAGAGAGATTAAACAATTTGCCCAATATCATCATAATATAATAAGTATGAGAATTAGGATGTAAATCTTGTTCTTCTTACTCCACAGCTAGTCCTCTTTCCACTGGACTGTTTTGCCTCAGTTGTGCCAGATTCTCGGACATCCCACTGAACTGAATTCAAATTTGGGTTAGAAAGTGACCTCCTGACTTTTCTAGTTTAACATATCAGAGTTACTATACTTCCAAATTTTCTTTCTCTTAGGCTTTAAAAAAATTAAATAACATATCACTGTAAACCTCCCCTCTCCTTTATTATTTTGGAGTTGTCCTTTCCCTGAATAATGTTCCCTTCTCATGTAGTTGCTGCCATTTTCTTCTCTAAGGAAAAGGACCAGAAAACTGTTATTCAGGATGCAGCGTGCTGATGGGGCCACTGTTAGCCCCCCTGAAATTGGGTCCAACTGGAGAGATTCCCTTTTGTTAACCCTAGATGAAATGAGCTGTCCTTGCTAGCTGTCTCTTGCTACTATGGATCATGGAGAGGGAACCCAACTCCAAACTCTGACTTGCTGACAGAGTCTTGTTTCTCTGTCTGGTGCTTTGGGGAGTCTTTGACGGTCCCTGGGCTCCAAAGTGTGATAATGCCTCCCTTCCTCCATTTTCACCCTTACAGTCCTCAAGCTTTTCTAGCCGCAGCACTAGCTCATTTCGAGACTATGGCATTGGAAAGGAAGGCATGAATCAAAATAAAGTGAAGTCCATGGCCAACCAGCTGCTGGCTAAATTTGAAGAGAATACTCGGAATCCTTCTTTTCTGAGACAGGTGAGTCATGTGGCCAAGGACTGTGTCTTCTGGGTGTCCCTTACCCTACAGGGAGGTAGCAGAGACACACGGCTTATGACAGGCTTCCGGTGTGCTTGAGGATCCTGGCTGAAGTGGTGCATTCTGTGTGTGTGTTGTGTGTGTGTGAGTGTGAGTGCTCTCACACACGTACACACACGCGCACATCCTTGTCCTTGTGTGTGTACTCGGCAGCCTGGGGCAGTGGCGGGGAAGAGATCTGTCTTGGTACCGGTGAAAAACTCCCATCCCAAGCCCAATGCCTTCTGTTCTGAAGCTCTTAAAACCTTATTGATCTACCAGAATGTAGACCCACCTCTAAAACATTTCCTAGCATTCCTTGCTACCACCTTCAACCCCCACACTCCCAACATATTAGCAGACCAGGTAAGTATGTGGTAAGGCAAGAGCCCCATGTCATGTCCCAAGGCAAGAGCTCCAGTTCATACTCCAGTTTGATTTATCAAAATTTCCCAACCCAGAGAGGCAGTGTTATAGCTAGAGAACTGGTCCTGGAACCAGGAAGACCTGGGGTCACTTTTTGCCTCTGATACCAATTGGCCATGTGACCCTGGGCACTTGACCTTGTCTCCCTGGCAGCAGTATCAGACCAAAGCCTCCACAGCAGGTGCCAGTGCATCTTCTTCTTATGCCAGTGATATCACAGAACCAGTCTTTAAAAAAAAACGAGACCCATAACCTAATTTATTTTAGGCCTGACCTTTGTTCCTTTTGGCCCCAGTCCCGTGGATTTGGGGGTTTTACTTAGAATTGTCCCTTGTGTGATTCTAATTGATGCATTTCAAAAAGACCCATGTTGAGAAAGACCTGAGTTCAAATTGCATCCCACTTATTAACTGTATGACCCTGGGCAAGTCACTTAACTGAAGTTTGCCTTAGTTTTCTCATCTGTAAATGAGGAATATGGGGATAATACTAGCACCCACCTCCTGGGGTTGTTGTGAGGATCAAATGAGATAATATTTGTGAAAAGCTTAGCACACAGTGCCTGGTACATAGTGAATGCTATATAAATGTTAGTTGTTATTATTTAGGCTGCCCTCCTGGTCACCACACATTCCCAGCATGGGGCTTTTGGTTGCCCTGGGGGGATAGCAGAGGCTGGCTGGCCTAAGCTAAAAAGCTCCACAGAGGTCCAGGGCAGGATGTTCAGGAGGATGAGTGGACACCAGACGGCTGAGCTCTGGACACCATTCGTGACCTCGGAGTTAAACGGATCCTTGCTAAGGGCACCAACCAGCCTGTCCCATTCCAGAGAGTTACTTCTTTTGACCTGGGTGGGAGCCTTTGATGTTGGTGGGTGGTGGGGAGCTCACGTGGAGGGGCTCACAGTAGGCAGCATGGAGACCCCATTTCTGCATCGTAGAGATGGGCAAGTGACCATGACAAGGGGGAAAATTCCTATTGCTCCTGAAAGGCCCCCTGACTCCTCTCCTCCACCCAGCCCCTGCATGGGATCTGGTAGAATTCCTTCCCTTTCCTTCCCTGCCCAAACTGGAATTCCCACGATATCTGAGAGGAAGAAGCTGCAGTGCCTGAGAGATACCTTGGCTACGTATTTCTGGGGGGAAGGCTGTCTTGCTCAGGTTTTCTGGATGGGCTGAAGCTCCTTGGTAGCACTCCTGTTTTAGGCCAACAGTTCTGCCCTGTCCAACCCTCATCTTCTCTCTGTTTCCTGTCTCCCAGTGTCTTTCAGTCTGACTTACCTTTTATTTTCATGTTTCCTATGGTTGCTCTTCTCAACTCAACTTTCTTCTTCAAGGCGCAAGCTCTTTCTGACCTAGGTAAGCCTGTCTTACACTCTTCTGCTGGCCCTCCTGTTAGCCCTCGCTTTGCTAAGCCAGAGGACCCTACACCCAGCCCATCACCTCCTCTCAAAAGGCAGGTAGGGTTTCATCTTGATTCTCACTTCTAACCTGGCAACGCTCATATTTCATTTTAGAAGGGAGGGAATTGTGGGTCCTCCAGGGTAATCCCCATCCCATCCCCCACACTCTCAGACCATCACTAATATCACAAGGGTACACTTTGATGTACAGCAAACCTCTTTATCCACTAGCTTGGCACTTTTTCAATTATCATGTATTTATTGAATACCTACTGTGTCCTTGTTAAGGAAAAAAGAAACTACTGAATTTGATTATTTTACTCAATTACCTTGTGGCGGATATTTTTTCAAAGACTAGCGATTTGCAGCTCTGAATTTGCATCCCAGAAGAAGGAAATACTTGTGAGCTGATAGGATTAGTTCAGTGGTTTCTCTCCTATTCCTCGGAAAAGGAACCAAACGGGGTAGGAAGGAGGCCTCGTGGTAGTCAAGATATGCTGTGGTTGTTAGCAGTGATCTCCCTGTGGCAATGGTATGGCAGTGCAATGCCCAGCATCTCTGCCAACTTTGGGTTGAGTGGTGGGGGACATCCAGCCAGAGAGGCCATGTGTCTTCTTGGATTCTGGGATGCACTTAACAAGCTTTGTTTGAAGGGCTCTCTGCCTTTCTACTCACCCCTAATAACAGGATTAGCAATTTTGTGTGTGTGTGTGTGTATGTGTGTGTGTGTAAGTGTGTAAAATCCCATTTTTCCTGATGGGAATCAGTTCCATGATTTTAGTGAGATGTCTTAAACTTTCCATAGAAGGAGAGTGTGGTTTAATAATGACTTTTTTTTTT